CTTTCCCTGGGCATTTCTGGACAAACCTTACACACACAACTGTAAAACAGGCCATTCCTGTAACTCCCACCACCCTGCAGCAAGTAACCTGCACTAACAGCAGACAACGTATCAGCTCAGAACACACTTAGGATCTTCAACTTCTCCATTTCCTCACAGGCAGGAAAACAAATGACCCAAGGGATATGGCTTCCCAAGTCAGCAGTTTTAGTGGCTGTTAAGAACCGAGGAGGCTTGGGGAGGAGGGGAGGTCCATTGCTGAGGGACATTCTTGTTCTTTGAGTCTGGGAATGGCAGCTTGGGCACCTCTGCTGTTTGCAGCTGGGCCGATATGGCCGGAAAGTACCTTTTGTGTGAGAGGCAGTAAACAGAGCTCCCACCATCAGCCAGAACAGCCTGTGGTTCAGTACAGTAAGCATTTCGTACATCAGCTAGCTCTTAAAAGACAGCTGAATTGGGCAACATATTTCTGCAGTATTTGATGGCTCTGAACGTGCACCACAAAGATGATTCTCATAAGCAGAACTGCAGCAAGAGCTGCAATTTAAATGACCAGAATGACTTATTTAAACTATTTTAGAATGGGTAAAGTGGTGAGGAAATGAAGTGCTTAACTCAAAGTTGGTTTTTTTGTTTTTTTCTTCTCTCCTGTCAAAATTAGATTCTCTGGAGGAGTAACATGACGAGGAAAGGCAGGCCACCAGTGACAGCACTACGAGGTCCTTGTTTCAGGGACGTGCGTGTTTCCTGTGCAAACTAGTCTTTATTCTGCAGTTTGGAATCCGACTTCATGTCCATCTTCCCTCAGTGCACAGCTACCCTACTGAGATGTGTTTAACACATCCATAGGTAAACACTTCTCAAAGGTTAAGGCTGAGCTCCATGGCAGTTCTACTCCTGGCAATATTAAAATATTTTATCAACGATTATACTACAAGTGGAGGCTTTCGGCCAATCCCAGTGCAAAGCCAGCAACCGTCACATCATTTCCGAGAAGAGACTGCCCTGCTGAATCTGAGACTGACAGTATTACTGCCTCAATTATCCATTTCAATTAATGCAAATATAGGCGATAGTCAGAACAGCAGAGTAAGAACTGATCGCTGAATACACAGTCACAAAATATAAGGCTTGACAAAAGAAGTAAAAAAGAGATTAGATTTAGTCTGTTTCACACATTCCTAAATCAGAGATAGGAAAAAAGGTGGGATATTGCCTTTACAATAATAATTATATTCTATAAAAATATTAGACAAATCATTTCATTAGAATTTTTATTCTTTGATGTTCTTCTGCAAGGAGAAGTGTTTGATTTCGAGCAGCTACTGCAGTGCTCAGCACCATCTTACTGACACCTCTGTCTTTTCTCAGTAAAAACAACGCAGACAGAGTGCTAGGCTTGAAAGAATATGCAGTCCACTGTAACTGTATTACAGGTAACAGAGGCAAATAAAAATCAAATGACATGGCCAAGGTGACACAGGAAGTGATGGCAGATTTTTTGAGCCATGGGAACCTTCTGTGCTTTATCTACGAGAGCCTGTCAGTGAGAACAAACTTGTTAGTTTTTGACTTGAGCTTTTCAGTGCAGAGCAGGGACATTCCTTCAGTCTAGTTGGTGCCTCAGCGGCCGTTCGTTACAGAGATGGGTGTGGGAGCAGACAGGCATTCACCTTCCAGAAGGCTACATATTGCTATTCCCTGTATTTCTGTACTAAAAGGGAAAGAACCCTGGGTATATAGATACTAAATCTTACCCTCCTAGAACGAACTCCAGCTATCCTAACAAGTGCTAACTACAGGGAAACTATAACAGAATATATTTCTTCCCCTTTCTATGTTAACAATTGCATTCCTCTATTGAGCCAGCACCATGACTCCTCAAATTCTGATAAATGCTTAGGACTTCTATCTTTCATCATGAGTACAGATGAACAGAATTCTAACATAAACCCAGAACTTCTAAGACATCTCAGGAAAATTAATTTAATATTTTTTTTTATTATTAGAAGAGAGTGGAATCTTATCTGAAATCCAACAACTACATTTATCTATCTGATGCTGTAATGTAGTTTGCAGACTGACCATTAACACTACTCAGCCTAAAGCCACTACGATGATAAAAGGCCCAGAGGGTGTTAGAGGAACGGGAGGGAGGACACAATGGGTGGGATGCAAAAAGAACCATGGGAGAGAAGGCTGATTCAGGTGAAAGATGGCACAGAAGAGTGGGGAAGTTTAATAGTCTGTGACAGAAAGAGGCCTGCTTACGTATTGTGGCTAGAGACGGCAAACGTGCTCTGCAGGGGACCTGGGATGGAGCCCTGCTGCACGTACCGAGACACAACCACTTGTAAAGGCTCTCTGAAAGATCTTGCTTCCTTGCAACAGAAAAGCAGCGCTGACGTGGAAAGTCTGTCATTCACATACCCACCAGCAAAAATAACAGTTTACGTTCAGGCCACAATTTGAAGGTTAGCTACACAACCTTAACAGCTAAAGTACTTTGGAAGTAAGTAAACAAACGTTCCACGTAACTTAAAAACCAGTTCCTGTCTCCCTGCTGAATTCTACGTTCGGTGGCGCGCGGGCGCGTGTTCACACGCGCGGAGAACATCGCCCACTGAATATGTTTATCGATGGATCCTTCCGTGGTTCAGTTCCTTTTCTCACAACTAACATCTTTTTTTCCACCTCTGTTGACCCAGAGTTCATCAGCAGGTCAGTGCTAAGGAAAAAGGTAACAACCCGTATTGAAAGTGTAACCCTGTCTATTGCTTAGATTCTGGGAACTTTAACCTCTGTTTGGAAAGCGTGACTAATAAGATGGAACAAATATTCTCCCAAGAGATGTAAACCATGCGCCAACTTCAAAATACAAAAATGCTTGCATGTTTTTTTTTTTTTTTTTTTTTTTTTTTTTTTTTTTTTTAATAGAGGAACTTTTTTTTCTTAAGGTGACTGTATATGTAACTTTATATAGTAGTTAACGGAAGGCCACAGTGCCAAGGCACAGCAGTACGGAATGGTATTCTTCTGAACTCTCCTTCGGTTTAAAGGAACTGTTGAATATTTAATGTTTTTTTTTCTTCCGAGTGGTTATTGTTTCTGAAATATTTATTATGCAGTATAGGAGTAAAAAATACATTTCTTAGCAAAGCAGAATAAATATTGAGAAAAATAATTATTGAAAATAATATTTAATTTACATTTTTTCCAAATATGTAATCACCCCCCAAATGCTAATTCCACAGACGTCTAGTTGAACTTTAAGTATGTGATTTCTTTGAGACAAAGGTGAATTTTCTCACCTGAGCAAGTGACGTTGTTCTCTGTTAATAATTGAGTATTATGAATAATAGCTGTTCATACATCGAAGCTTTCAGCACTATGATTTGATTGATTAGAAATATTTGGAGTAGACTTGCATTCATGCACTGCTGGTTGCCAAGTTTAAGACTGTGTAGCAGTAACATCTGTGGGGTTATTTGCTTCTTAGTTTCCTTTTCTTAATTTTAGTTTTGCTTTGTTCAATGTTAGTATTGCAAGCTTGCAGTTTTTGCTAGTGCAAGGTTGAGACTCACTCAAATCACTGGACACTGAATTGTCCATGGTATTTTGTCTGTCTAGAGCAATGATTAATAATTTCTGATAGTGGTTTTACTAACTGGTGGGCTTGACAATGCTGTTTGCACTTAACATATTGCCAACAGGCTTCAAACAAGATCAAAGCCTCATTCTGATAATTGACATGTAGATCACTGAGGATATTAAAATTTGAGCAAACAAAAACTGTAGGAAGAAAGAATGACTGTCCCTATTTTACAGATAGTGAACCAAGGAAGACAGAAGAGTTTGTTGAAGACTACCTGATCTTCACAAACCTGTGAATGAGTCCTTGTCCAGTTCTGCTAAAAAGAATATTATTCCTTTCCTGCAGAATCGGAGGGGTGGCTGTTCTCTGTGTCAGCTAGAGCTCACCCTTCCCGCTCTAACTGTCGCTGAGCTTTTCAGACATGGCAGCACTCTATCCCAAACCCAAATCACTGCTTTAAAGTTCTTTTGAGGCATGTAGCTGTGCACGCGATTGCTTGTTGCCAGTACTCTGCATGGTCAGTTTAGTTTCTGGGGGTTGCAGCTGCAGTACAACTGTTCTGTTACAGTTGCAGTACAACTGTAGAAGTCACAAGCCTCCAGAGTTTAAAATCTGTGTTTAAAAGCATGCTCCTTGACTCTCCGGTAATTGGGAAATAGAAGACATATCTTTTCACAAGCTAGAGAAAAGCCCTGTATCTCGTCCCAAACCACATTTCAAAACACGCTTTATTTATGCTTCACAGTGACTACAGCGCTTTTGGGTGCTATAAAACCAAAAGTACCCACAAGAGCTCTTGGGGGTCAGCCTAACAACCTGCAGGGAGCACACCCACGCAAGGAACAACTTATGTACAACATTCCACGACACAGAGGTAGACAGAAAGCTGTTGCATATGAAAGAAGAGGCGAGCCCTATGGCAACAGATGCCTCCAACCAAAGTACCACAGCCTTGTACCACAGGTGTGTTAACCTCCAGTTCTGTAAAGTCGGCATCTTTATGGGCATCTAGTTCCTCCCTAAACAAAGTGGCAGCATACTGCGTGGTACCAGTGCTCCACAAGGCTGCAAGAAAGCTTCAGATTTTTCTGTAGTCAAAATATTACAACACACTAACAATAAGCAGTAAAACAACAAGAGTTAAATATTGAAAAGCATTACTATACCTGACATATCCTAATGGCTTGGTCCAGCACTGTCTTTGTATCGGTTGCATAGTCTGGGCAAGGCAGCATGGCATGACTGAAGTGGGCTTGCAGCAGGAGGTGTGTTTTTGTGTGTGAACTGTCAAATGAATGCGGATTGACTTCAATTGGAAGATGTTTTGCCAGTTCACTGTTCAACTGATCTTCATTGTGTCTCACAGGCAGATCTGTGTACTCATCAGCATTCTTTAAAACAGTAAAAATAAAAAATTAACCATTGTAATTAATTTCAGAATAATTACGATTCCTTACTGAGACATTAAAAGTATATGCGTTTAATTTACTACAGTTAGATTTCATTGTTAAAATAGCATCTTAATGGTTAGAAAGTGTACATATTTATCAAAATCGCGTGTGTGGGAAAACAATGGCTAGTAAAATACTCACAAATATCCTCACAATTATGGGTTTTAAATTTTTTTTCACATAGCCGATTTTAACATTAGAGAAGAAGAAAATAAAAGCAGTGAAATAAATACATCCGCCGGATGGACTCAGTATTTGAGATGACCTCCTCCAGATGTCCTGCCCTGGCTGGCTCACAAAACCACTGTACAACTGTTAGCTGTAGAGACAGGGTTTCTACTTTTCTCTTTGCATCTGAAACACAGTGGGCTTGAAATAGCTCTGGTAAGGTTATTTTAAAATATATTTTCAATATTTTGAGCAGTCGGTGTCTAACCAACAGATGAACAGCGATCAAAGCAAAGAGCAAAATAGTAACCAGGTGCTGAAAACTATCCTCTGTGCTCCACAGTGGGACTAATGCCATTCATCATATCAAAACGGAAGCTGTCTAAGAACTTCCTCACTGTTGCAAAAAGGAGCGGCACAACAACAGGTTATCTAAGTCTGGTTATGAGTAGCGACATCCTTGGGGCTGAGAAGAAGTATGAGAAGTATGGCTGTTCCAGTAGCCAGAGCAGAGGTGTTCATTCTCCTGCTAGGGAAATCCACTGTCTCTGAAAGAAGCAAACTTCAACAGCAGCATCCTAAGAACTATAATTTAGGCTGAGGAGTCAGTTCTGTGACTTTATTGGTATTTTTTTTTCCACCACAAAATCCCCTTCTGCATGTATGCGTACATATTCTTGTTTGGAATAAGAACGATCTTTCTGAAGTACAAAACTTGCAAGTAAAGTAGGAGTTTTATAATATGTGATATCTTTTCCATCTGTAATTTAAGAGACTGTATTTCTTTTGTCATAAAATAGAAAGTCATCTGGGTAGCCCGAAGGGCAATGTCTTCTGAACTATGAGTTTAGCAGAGACGATTAAATTAAAGTGTTCAGGGTTTTATATTCCTCTTAAACTATTGATTCGATATTATGCATTTTAGTCTTCAATCTCCAGTCGGTCTTCCTGCAAATCCATATTAATGAAACATTCACAACAGTAACCAATGCAGAGTGAAGTAAAGAAAAATGGCAATTTTTGAACACCTAACAGAACTACCTAATTGACTTGCAAAGTACTGTATCCACTCATTAATATCCTAACACATAGAGCCTTTTTTGACAATCCCTAAACCCAGTTATATAGCTGTTTTTCACCCCCTTGAAAACAGACAGCACAAAATTTTCTGTTTTCTTCAATGGCACAAAGAAATTACACCTCAGCTATGATATAAATGTAAAACAAAAGATAAGCATTAGACAATTTAAGATTCGGAAAGAAAATCAGAATGTCATTAATTTATTTCATATCTCAACTGCAGATTAGAAGGGAAGACTGACTAAAGGCAACTGCTGCTTAATCCTGGATGTCTCTGCTAGATCTCTTGTGAAAACTGCGGTCATTTATTCTCTGAACCTAAGGTCACAATCTTTTCAAGCCCTATAGAAGGCTGCATGTTTGCTTCACTCTTTTTATTTAACTAGCTTCTCCTTCAAAGATATTTTAAAGAATATTTACCAAGGAGATTTTTTACTTAGTTTTGCTTTGCAGTTTAAAGTAGCAGAAAGAAGAATCAGCCAAGTCACTCCAGACCAATTGGTACTCCCAAAAATGCATTTTCCCTAATTCTTCCCCAGCACATGTTTTATTTACCTCCAAAACACTCCCCTTATTTTAAACAACTTGCCTACTTAATTTCCTGTTTGTGATCATTGACTGTAAGTAAGTGAGGTTCATTTTCTTATCTGCATCATGTAGGTAATTAAAGGAAATTGAGAATGGGTAGTGAAGCTTTTATACAACTGAGAATGAAGCTGAATGGAGGGCACCGAGGTCAGCAGAGTCCATTATATTTTTATGTGAGAGGCCAGTATGTCTGCCCTGTCCTTGTTTGCTTAGTGTAGGCTGGACAGACTACTAACTGCAAATCTGTTTCTCTGATTTGCCCAGCTGTCCTTGAATAAAGACATCTTCCATTGCAAAATGTTAAATGACAGTGATTGACAACTCTGTGATGAACTCTGCTTGTAACCCCCTGCTACTGTTTTCAGGTTGCACAAGAAAAGACAGAATAAAGAAACATCCTTTGTAATCACCTCAAATGGGCCCTGCTGTTCACTCAATATTTTTGCGTTTTAGTTTTCCTTTTCATTGTGAATCTCAATCTGTTCTGCAAAGGCTATAGCTTCAACTATTCCTCACAATATATAATACGTATTATTTTAGTACATTGTATCTGAATACCCTTCTTACTTCCACGGGTGAGGAAACAGATCAAATTACGTATCAATCATTAATCTTCATTCTAAAGTCAAGAAACTTAATACAAACTTTATAATTAAACCAGAAAACACTGCTGTGCACTATTCACTTTCCCTCTTCCTTCTGTTAAATCAGGGCTACTGCAGCCCATGTGCGAGTAGTATGTTTACAAGCACCTACACAGTTAAGCATAACTGAGAGTACACCAGCAGATAACTGGGAATTTTAGCTACGGGGTCTGCAATCATGCATTTGGTAGCCATGTCACATCTCTCTTTTCTATGGGTCTGTGATGGACTTTCCCCATAACGTCTTCTTTTGGGCACTAGAGACTCCTGCATCATTTCGAGGGTGTAAAGGTCCTCTCAAACCTACATTTCAACCTGTATGTGATGCAGGGTCATACAGGAGACAGCAACTTGCTTTGCCAGGGAGAAACGTCACACGTAGACCTACACAAACTCCATAGCTACATTTTACAAGGTCGAAGGGCTATTCTGATAATTGAATTCTGTTCCTGCATAGTGCCAGCCACAGAATCATCTTAAGAGTCCTGTCTGCAATACTGTGTTCCAGATACACAGCTTATCATCACTTGTTGTTATTTGAATTGTTAGAATTGCTCTAAAAGTAAACAACTCATCCCATTTTAAAATATTCCTTTTGCAGTCTTCTGGTACTATGAGGAGTCACACTGAACTAAAATTGAGGTAAGGCATCTAACATGGTGAGTACTACGATCTGCAGCATCCATAGGGTTAAAAAAGAATCAGATATCAGATTTTCTTTCTACCCACAAAATGTGTAAGTTTGGCTGAAATTACTGATTTATAGTGAAAGCTGAACTATAAACTTATACCACATGTAAACTTTCTGAAATATTTTAAATCTCAAGTAACTACATCTTGCCATCTGTCTACAAAAGAGAAGAAGATACTTGTGGAACACAGACAGAAATGGGAACAAGGTGAGCAACCAAAGTAAACTTGAATATTTTAAGTTCAGTTCAGTCATGGGAACAGTAAAACTTATAAAGTTAATGAGTTCTAGACTTTAAAGAGCAGTTGATTAATTTGTAACAATGAGGGTCTAAAACAAACCAAAAATAGTTTCTCACATTCCAGAGGTGAACCAGTAGTCTTTTCTTCAGCAATGCTGTTATTGAAACTACTTTAGAGCTGACTACCTGTACGCTCCTTTTCTTTATGTAGGTACAGTGAACCCAAACCCACCATATTTTCAGCTTTAATAAACCTGCACCGTGTTTTGCTCTCTTTCAAGCTTCTGATGTAGAAAGAAACAAGGGAAAAGCATTCTCAGAAAATTTGATACCAAAATTAGCAGTCGTTAAGCTAAAGTATAAAACAAACTTTGTGGTAAAGTAGTACTAAAAGTAACTACCAGAATAATAAAAAAGGAGAAAAGATGAGGATCATTTTTAGCTAATACAGTAATCACATTCTCTTTACCTGAACCTTGGTTTAAACTACATAAACTTCTGGCAGTCTGCGTACATGCTGGAAGACTGCAAAAATCATACCTTTGTGCATAGAATGAAAAATAAAAAAATAAGCTGCAATCAATAAATGTGGGTTTTTTTACAGCTGTTCTGTAATTAACACTAGTAACACATTAAGAAGTAAATTTTAGTTCTCTGCTATCAGGAGTTCAATGGTATGCCAATATGCAATTTATTTTTCCAAGTGAAAACAGCATATTTTGATCTGTAAGTAACTGGATAGGTAAATATAAGCTCAAGAATAATTTCATTATGTGTTGACTTTTGTTTTTTGTTCCATTGCACAAAGTACTACAGAGTATTTTAGCGCAACATCCTGACCTGTCACTTCCACATAGTGCTACAGTGTACAGGAGGTAGCTGGGCTCCAATCTTTAAAACCGTCTGTAACTGTCCTCTTTTCGGTGATACCTGGGTTACCCTTAGTACAGGACAGAGCAAGTAGCACGGTCAAAAGAGAGAAATAACAAACACTGATTGTTTGTGAGTATCTAGGTAACCAGATAATAAAGTCTTATAATAGATTCACAAATTCTAAATTTTTCTTTGAGGATACTTGAACGTCTGTACTTAAAAACATTTGAAATGATTTCTGGTTTTTATACATACATATATGTATGTCCATTCACGTGCTGACAAAAGCCTCATTTGAGCCTGTAAACTGTATTATAAGGAAAATAAAAAAACCCACTTAACTAAAGTTCCCAGGTTAATCTTCCTTTGCCCATGCTCTTCCCAAAAGCACAAGACCATATTATATGACACAATAATGACACAAGTACATATTATGAAAATGATTAAAATTAACCAGCACATTTATACTATATTTTATCGTCACTTTTTCAAGCGTGAGTTTAATTTATAAGGACAGACATAACATTTACACAGATGTATCCTGGCAGGCATCTGGAACACAATCAAGCTTACATTTATATTCAGAAAACAAAGAAATGTGAGAAAACATGTGCTTAAAAAAGAAAAAAGAATAAAGGCCCAAACTGACATGTACTTAAAA